GAAAAGAAAAGAAAGGGCCGAAAACGAAACGTCGACGATAAAAATCAAAACCGGTCTAGAAAAAACGTTAGCTACGTACGACGTTCAACAACAAAATCAAGAACACAGAAAGAAAAAAAAAAAGAAAGAAAAAAAATATATATACTCCCCCGCCGAGAGTTCCTTCCCCTTCCTTCACCTGCCTGGTCTTGAGTGGCCCGCAAGGCATTCGACGGGACGGGACTCTGTGGGGACGACTCGAGGAGGAGGAGGAGAAAGGCTGATTGATAATCGATACAGGGGTCGGAAAGAGCTAGAACGATGCTTGCTTGCTTGCTTGCTTGCTTGCGGGGTTACGAGGTTACGAGGCCCCGAAAGTTGAGAGGGGAACCACGCCCGCTGTGATTGATTTGGGTCTAGAGCGTGGTGTTTGACTAGAAGGCTAGGTACTTACTACTTACTACTGTAGAGAGTCGGGAGGTCCAGAAAGAACGTGGGGTACGACTTGCAACAAGATGATAAATCACAGACCCTGAATGTTGGAATGGTTGCTGGAAGGCCACAGGTTCTCCCGAACAGGATGGGGAGTACGAAATAGAGGAAATGTTTTGGTCGAGATTCGATGTTCCTCATCCGACGAATTCCGACGGAGTGATCTTCCATAGCTACTACAACTTCCAAGACACCCCGTCCCGTCCAGCGCCCCCCAAGGCCCTTAACCATCCTCAATATCGTCATCACTCAAGACTAGTTTTTGCTTCGGCTGCTGCACCGGCAGCCCATCTCCCGCTCCCTTCCCTCTAAACACCAAGCCCCTTTTCCGCGGGCTCTTCCCCTCGCCCGGTTTATCCGTCGCCCACTCCTCCCCCAGCGCGCCTTCGTCCTCCGCGTCATCAGGATCCTCGTCGGAAGGGGCCCCAATACCGCGGAACGTGGTGACTTTCTCCATATCGCAGATCGCTAGGGTCGACCAGGAGGACTTTTTGGAGCGAGCGATGGTGACCATGTATGGCAGTCGCTCGAGGAGCATTTCTTTGCGGGCGGATGTCCCAAAGTACATCAGCGGTGCGATGTCAGCCTCCTTTCCACTACCCTTTGAGGATTTGGAAATTGAAGAAGGGGGCGGCCTAGCACTCTTCCAACTCTCCACCGTGCCAATCTTCGGCCTGGCGAACGCTGCCGCCCCAGCTGTCACATCCCTGAGCATCCCATCCTCGCCCTTGATCAGTTTTGATACCCAGAGATCAATCGTACTCTCAATCTCCTCTTTCATTCTCCACAGCTTCAAGCTTGTTGGATAGAACATCCGATACGCTTCCCCATATTTGCCTGTGCGGAGCCCAGCAGCCGTAGGAGCTGTACGTTTGACGGGAGATGGAAGCGCGAAAAGGATGCCGCGGACAGCAATCTGAAATGAAATCTCATCTTGACGGAGGATATCACCACCACCGACGCCTCCGCCGAAGCCAGTGGAATTGAAGGTGCCGTCCCAGGAGGGACAGAGGAGGTCGCTGTTTGAGAGGGCGTCTATGCAGCCGTTTACGTGATCTAACGAAGAAAATTCGAAAGAGGTGGGAGGCGCTTCGCAGGAGAGGATGTAGTTCTCGTGAAGGGCTGCTACAAACGTTTGGGTGTCTGTTCCGGTCTCGTCGATGAGCTCGTCGACCATGACTTGAGTTCGCTTAGGCCGAGAGTGCATCGACATGAAGTCTGGTAGGCACTCGACGTCTTGTTCGCCAGCTGAAAGCACTGGTGGGGCCTCTTCTCGTTTGTTATGGACCACTTTCCCAACAGCGTGGAAGATTCCCAGACTAGCCTCTCGCCGAGTTACCAGTTCGAGACTCTCTGCTTCCATTGTCGTCAGGGGGGTCTCCTTACTGGCTTTCTTGGTTTTGCCAAATGCTACTTTGGCCCCCCATTGGCCATCGAGATCACCCCGAAGGCATAGAAATTCCAGAGACCCAATTGCACTTCTGATATCACCGACTTCTCCAATCTTTTTCAGTACGAGAGGCCCGGGTGTTGTTCTGCGGCCTGACTTTCGAGACTCTTTCTGCACTACGAGCTCAAGGGCCTTAACGAGAATGGTAGGAGCAATGGCGTTGAATTCGATCACCCCTACACCCGGATGTTGGAGAATTTCTGGCCCAAGCAGCCTATGTACTGTGAAGCTATCCGCCGAGGCAGAAGTTGTAGTGAGTAGGGTCTCTGAAATAATCATGACCACAGGTGTTATAGGATCCTTAGAATTGTAGTTCATCATAGACAGAGGTGGTGTATTGGAAGCAAGATACGTGACGATTGTGGATCGGAATGATTGCAACGCTGTAGAGGAGCGTGAAAAAGTATTGGGAAATTCTTCTATCAGAATGAGATTCTTCCGGCGATCGAGGGGCTTGATCTCTGGTTTGGGGGCTACTTGCCCATCGGTAGAAAATATGTCCAGCTGTCCAAATTTCCCGCCTCGGCCCATAAATTCCTCGAATTGAGCAGACATGGAGAGATATCCATCTGAAGAGGCAACCGACCCTACAGGATTGCGCCATTCCAGTACTCCACAGTTCATGTCTTTCGCCAAGAGGTGTACTGTAGTTGTCTTTCCAGTTCCAGCAGCTCCTTTCAATATCAAAAGTCGTTGTCTCATTCGGCCTCCCATAACACCTTCGAGCCAAGCTCGCACATCAGAAACCTTCTTCCTATGGACTGCCAGATCTTCCAGGTTCGCAGGGGCAAATCTCTCTGCCCATGGCCTGGTGTCTTCCTCAGGCTGGATCTCCAGCGGGGGTTTCGGAACGAGGAACTTCTGACTTGCACTGAAAAAGTCTCCATCGCCATTGTTCTGGAGCTCCACCCCTCTCGCTCGTTTCCGTGCTGCCAGCCCGACCATACTGGATGTCGGTGCTTTCGACTCAATGACATCGTCGTCAGATATCAAGTCGTCGTCCTCTTCATGCCTAGAGCTGTTGGAGCTTCGTACTGCCACCTTCGGCCTGGAGACCGTCCCGATAGTACCCTCAGCCTGCTGCCGCTGCGCCTGCTTGGTAAAGAAGGTATGTATGTTCCCGCTCTTCACCTTGTCGTCCACCAATCCCTTCCATTTGGCCTTCTCTGGACTGCTACTTGCACTCTTCGTGCTAGTTTTGGCTCCGCGAACCTGCTTCGGGAGGTGTACAGGTGCCGCATTTGGAGGGTGGTTCGCAGTCTTCGCGCGAGGCTGCATCTTCTTGGATGGCGCCGCAGTTCTCGTGAGAGCTTTTCCCGCTGTCGGAGGGTTTGCGTCGTTCGAAGAGGGCGGGGAAGAAGAAACTAAATTGCTCGGGCGAGCTCCGAGTTTGGTGACGGGCTCATCCTCGTCGTCTTGCTCGTCGGACGAGGGCACGACGTTCCGCTTTCGTCGCTTCGTTGGTGGAGCCATGCCGCCTGGAGATAAATAAATGTTGCCTCATGAGTCTGTAGATCGCCTCTTCTCTCACATGACATGTTGTTCCTGCATAGCCGGTCGGGAGCCTTTGAAGCCGTTGATTATTGATGTCCGGCTACAGTTATCGTCGTCCTTATCGCTTTTGGCTAACCGGATCTGGATTTCGGCTATTCAACTTACTGCCTTCCAAGAAACCCGAGTCTGCCGCAATTGCTCTTCTCCGGGATGCAAATGATCGGTCAAGCATCTAAAGCGAGGTTCAGCCGTCAAGCTAATGGCTTGTACTCTATCAGGAGAATAGTTACGGCCAGAGTCTCTCTTTGATTGGTGATATCGTGGAGGGCTTTATTGATGGAGTCTACACATTTCTTGGAGGCCGGAAGACGGGGGTTTCTGCGCTATTTCGCATATCCCACCTCTTTCCTCTAATTAATTAAATAACGAGCACCAAAAGGGACTCGGTTCAAAAATCCTCCCAAGGCTGTCAACGAAGCCTTCAGATCAAACCTCACTCGGCTTGACATCCGGTTCGAAACACCAAACCGCATACCCCTTTTTCCCAAACAATACCACGAACCGATCATCCCCAAGCAGCACCGTAGTAACCTTAGATGACACCGCCCCAACCTTGATACAATTCTCCCTCTCCGGCTCAAAAGAACAGTTTCGCCAATTTGCGCCGGAGCCGGAGCCTGCGTAGCTAGCGTGTCTTTCAAACTCCTTGCTCTCCATGTCGAAGGTCAGATGCTCGCACTTCTGTGCAGCCGCACTTCCGATACGCCGCTCTGTATTTGAGAGGGTGGTGTGCTCAACGGAGAATAGGTGGCTGTCGTGCTCTTGAGCGAGGAGTATGACGCTGTCGTGAAGGGGCTGTACTGAGATGCAATCGTGGTTTGGGTCTGCGTTCGCGAGATCGATCTCGTAGGTCGAGACTTGGGTTCCGTCTTGGATTTCACGCATCTGGATATGTTTCATGAATGAAGCAAAGGCGTTTCGTAATGTGCAGACGAAGAAGATATCTGCGCGAGCTGGTTAGTTTGCTATATAGCTTTAGATTGTCCCATGGAATTTCGAAATATTCCATCTGGCTTGAGAACCGAGGACATTCCCCTCGTATGGCTCTGCATCTAGATAATGCCGGGATGGAAATAGTGTGAAGTGGAGGAGGGGATTGCTAGACTAGGCTTTCTCGCCACCCTGAGCGTCTCGGACAGTAAGAGAGGTTGACATGGCTTACTTTCATCATAGGCGTTGAAGACTACGTCGACGATCCGCGTCTCTGGAAACTGTATCGGGACTTCTACCTGTCGTAGGGGCTGCCCGGGGAGCCTGAGATCCCAGAGGAAGACCTCGTTGCTGCAACTCACGATGGCAACGCAATCGCCACGCGCAGAGAGTTTCTTAGCACGGTTTGGCAGTCTGACAACGTGCGGCCCACGTTTGTAGGCTGCACCGAGATTTTCCAGGGGCCACGCTAGTAGATCTGTTCTGGAAAGAGTCAGAATGAATCTTCTGTACATACAGTTACGAGTTCATGGTACGAGGAGAGGGATTACAATTTGAGGAAAATAGGAGCCAGTGAGCAGTAGTATCCATGATACCCATGTGAAAAGTGGGGCGATTGAAAACAAGCTGCCAGCATAGCGTCCTGTAGCAACCAAAAAGATCCCAGATCATGATTTGATCTGGACCTGAAGATACAGCCCAATTTTTTGCAAAACTGCCAAAGTTTTACTTTGCAGGATTAAACTGAAACGCAGGAAGGGAACTCACGATTCGTCGGTTGTAGTCACGATATACTTGTCCGACAGCAACCACAGCGCAAAATTATGACGATTCTCATCCATGAAGCACTCCTCGGCGGGCGAATCCAGACTCTTCACCACCAGGACTCGCCAACAACCACGGAGATAGGCAATGCGGCCATTATTGTATTGCGGATGGCCATAAAAACCGCGCCGGCTCCAGTCGCCCAGATGCGGCTGATGAAATGTTCTCACCGAGTGATACTGGCCTCGCGCTCGCCGGATCCGCGCCAGAGCGGCCTTGTCGAACCACAACTTGAGCTCCTTCTTAGCCTTCAGTTTCTCGGAGCTGAGATTGTCGGCGCAACCATCGCTCGTCAGACTGCGGTACTCCTGCTCGTACTTGCGGGGGAAGTGCCTCTTGAGCAGTTCCAGACAGGTGTCTTCGGTCCCCAATGCTGCGTTCCAGGAGCGGCATACCCTTCGGATCCTGAACAAGTCCTCGAAGTCGAGGTGCGCGAGGATCTGCAATTGGAGTTCTGAGGGAAGCCTCACGAATAGTTTATCTGGAGTTTTCATAGCATTGAGACGGATTCGGAGATTGATGACTTCTTGGTCGGTTAGTTGAGCCAGTAGTGACCCCAATCTAGACCCTCATTAACTCCTTTCGACTCGAGGCTACTGAAAAGAACAGCTATTAGGGCTAGCAGCACAAAAACAGGCCAAGGGTATGAAATCACGTACGCCAACGCCCGTTTATGTTCTAGAGATCCAGGCAAGCCGGGAGCTGTGTTGGGGTCTGAACTCAAGCTGTTGAATACATCAACAAGCTCCCCGGTTCCAAAATGATTTGGCGCCATGATCGAGAAGAGCGCGGAACCGATCTCCGTAAACCTCTGGAAGTCCTGGTCGAATCTCGTTGATAAATCTTCCGACCCGTCTAAGCAAGATTCTCTCGCAAAATCGGCTCTCTAGAACCGAAATGAGGAGCGTCAGGTCAAAGAATTTCGATAGCTTGGCTCGCGTCGGAGATGTCTTGTCGTCCGTTCGCCTCTCTAGGCGTTACAGGAAAAGTCGTGATCAGGAAAAGTCGTGATCAGGTACCCCGTCCGAAAGCTCTCAGATGGGTGACCTTGTCGGGCACAGTAGTACCAACGATTTGCCCGCCTTTCGGCTTTCAATTCATGCGGGTCTCCGGCTGCTGCTGCCAGATTGCGGATGTATAGCTGATGTGCGTTCCGGATTGTGATGGTGCAGGAAGGAAGAGGAAGGTGTGTACGGAGTATGTCGTCGCGAGAGAAACGAGGAGAGGAAGATCAAGTAAGGACTTCGTAGCCTCGCTTGTAGGCCAATCATCGTCGGCTCGCTTAAGTAGGCCTCCTTACAGCCTTTCAGATTATGGCGAGGCTCTACAAAGAGGACCGCTAGGACGCACGGACCGTCAGGTGGGAGCTGTACTTCGTAACTCGCATTGCTGAGGAGAGCTTCTAGTACCTACCGGTAGTACTGTAGGTAGGTAAGTACCTAGTTGTACGGAGTAGGTAAGTTGTAGAAACTCAACGAACCTTTTTGGAACCGGAACCTGGCCATCTATCCAGCTGCCAATGACCCAACCAGCCCTAAACAAAGTAGATGGACACCCACTCATATTGCTTGCCCCTTTCGATTTCTCCATCTCAACTTCAGTCTTCTGCAAAGATTATCACAGATTCAGGGAATTTCATCCCAGAGATCCCCGGCTCCCGCTCGTCTCTTGCCCATTGTTTATATGGGATCTCTGCCTCGATCATCCAGCCGCGCTTGCAAGAGAATAGTCAGCTGACCTACTGGGGTCGATATATTTAGATATACTCTCTGTATGAAGCCCCAGGGACAGCCAGCCTGAGACTGAGGTGATGTACCGGTACCGGTAGATCACGCGTTATGGATGCTGCCGGCTCTCTGTTATTCCCAGGCCGCTCTCTATGATTTTCCCTGCTTGAACAAACTTCCCCAATTGACAAGGCTTTCGGCGGTAGTAGAAGTTCTAACATTAGAATATTTCAAGACAGTGACCCGGCTCTGAAACTTCCATTTTCTAAAACCGGAGAGACCAAATAGTCAATAAATATAATTATCCGAAACGGTTTGGCGGGAAGACCAGTCGAAGTTGTAGGTACCTATGCTCACGGAACAGTACTTATATGTCTTCAGAGTCCTGCGTATCTCATCCCCTTCTATCATCCATTCTGCATTCCCCTCTCTTCGAGCATCTACTCTCTATCACAGGCATCTGGTTCTTGTTATCACATTCTTGCGTCTTCTTATCCTCCCAACGAGTCGTTCACAACCAATTTCCAAATATGAAGTTCATCGATGCCACCGTCGCCGTGGCTATCTTTACAGCTTCAGTCGCAGCAGCACCTTCCGTTATTACTGCTAGACAAAGCCTTGATATAAAGCTGTGCCGCGATGCCAACTTTCTCGACTGCACCAATGTCGCTTACCAGGTTGACACCTGTTGTAAGATTCCCCCTTTTCCAACCACCTCTTTGATATCGAAGCTCACAAGTGTCAAGTCAACCTTGATACCCTACAGGGCTACGACAACACTGTCACTTCTTTCGATACCAAGGGCCCCTGGTGCAAGTTCTTTATGTAAGCACTCCATCCCGTTGCCTGATTCCAGGACCCCAAGCTGACTAAGATCCCTAGCGACTCAAATTGCCAATATAACGCCGGGGCTTTCCGCTGGGAGGGCAGTCTCGACGACATCGCCAAAGAGGAACCTGGAATGGACAATGCGTTCTCTTCTTTCGAGTGCGAGGAGGCCATAGTCTGAGAATGAGGAGGACTAGTTGTATTCGATCAGGGGGGGGTTTCCTGGGCTTTAGAAATCCTGTGCTCGCGGACCAGTAGGAATGAGATTTGGCTGCCAAAACACGATTGTGCTATTTGTAGTCTATCTAATGCTACTCTGATGTGGAGCTACTAAATGTGGATCCTGGCTGAGACGGTAAACTGTTAAAAATGCGCTCACACCTCTTGATTGGGTGCATCCATTTGAGCTGAGGCTACCTAAGGTAGGTATCGAGGAATACTAAAACTTGACTAAGCGCTTAGTAATATGGCAAAAGGAGATCTGGCGAGTGTAACGGGCCAGTAACGAGCTAGATGTGCATTTTTGTGATTGAAATCTCCTTTTTTTTCTATTATTAATTAATTAATTATTTTTTTTTTTTTAGAAAAAAACCCCCCTATTATTATAGACTCTTTTCACTTGATGGATAGCTAATTGATAAAAAGAAAAAAAATGCTCGAAAACCAGCTGGCTGTACCGCTTTAAGAAAGGCTATTGCTATAAATTAAATGCTCGAAGGATAGCTAGCTGCATCGGGCTGAAAGGGGGCTGGCTATAACTGGCTGCACCGGGCTGAAAAAAAGCCATTGCTACAAATGGGATGCTGGAAAAGTACTACGTAGCTGGCTGCATCGCGCGGAGAAGGGTCATTCTATAGGAAAAGGGCTATCCTATATGAAAAAAACTATAGCTATAGATGAAATGTTCGAGCGATAGTTGCTACTAGCTATATCGCGTTCTAAAAAGCTATTATTATGGATTATACACGTACTGTAGTAGCGACGGATATCATGGTGCGAAGTCCGGAAAACTTACTCCGGAACTTGCGGAGGGCCGCACGTTTTAGGTTGCGGCCGGGCTGAAGCGTCACCTTTTTCTTTACGTAGTACGACCTACCTACGTCGTAGTCCTACTCTCCTTTTCCCGCGTATCTCTTACTGAAAATCGATAGAGTAGTAGCGTTAAGGCGGAAGGCAGGCTCGCGCCACGACCGGGCGAAGCCAGGTCTCCTCTGGGCCCGGAGCTCGCGGAGGGCAGCCTGAGGCACGACCGCTTGTACGTACGTACGTGCGACGTAAATAGTATCATGGCTCTCTACGGTCCCTCTGATCCGGCATCGATTGAGTTTGCAATACTGACCGGACTATTGAATTGGTACCGGTGGTGATCGGTAGTATACGGTACGGTACTGCTTAGTTATGATTTGTGATCCGGCCTGCTCGGCCCGTAAGCATACGGAAGGAAGGTAACCGTTTGCCGAGAAAGCTTCCTCCTGACTGGGATAAATATCCGATGACCAAAAGGGGGCCCCGGAAAGGAAGAGAAGAAGGGGAGGGGGAAGGGGAGGGGGAAGGGGAAGGAGAAGGAGAAGGAGAAGGAGAAGGAGAAGGAGAAGGAGAAGGGAAAGGCAAGGGCACAGTAGCCATGCCGAGGTACTAGTCCGGTCCGGTAGTAGTAGATGTTCTTCTGGACACTCTACACAACTCACCTACAGAGAGTGAGTGGACATAGTAGACCGGTATGTGCCATGTAGGCCAGCTGCCAGCTGCCAGCTGCCAGCTGCCAGCAACCGTCAGTCCTCCCGCGTCTATCTCTCTTCCGGTATGTTGTTTTAGACTCGGCAGAGGGCTGGCATTCCGTAGTGATACTACTATGTACGAGTACTACTATCTCCGATCTATCTTTCTGCAGTAGTACTTGAATGTCGTTTTGAGACCCTGTCAACAAATCCTCCGCCTGCGGAATCTGTACTTCGACTGAGATGGTGCAGCCTCTACGCACTAGCAGTAGTCCGTACATGGAAGTAATATCACTTGTTTCACATGCCACCCAGTGGACTGGCTGAAGGGAGTTGCATAATGGCGAGGAGGAATGAAAGACATGCACACTCTGCAGCACTGAGTTAGTTCACTTCGACGTAGTCGTACCTAGAGTACGTTGTAGGTAGTAGTACCTAGGTAGTAGGTACCGGTAGTAGTACCTAGGTACGTAGTACTTACTACCTAGGTACCACCTCTCCATCCCTTATCCACGTTTCTAGCCGAGGGCTTGGGCAGGCCAGGGCAGGCCAGGGCAGGGTAGGCCAGGGCACGGCAGGGCATGGCACGGCCTTTCATCATTCACGAAAGGACCTTCTGGAAAGTTTAATTGATGGCCGCCATTTGGCGTAATTGTTTTTTGGTTGCGCCTTTACAGAGTCAGTACTACGTAGGACGTACTACGTAGTAGGACGTAGTACCTAGGTTGTACGACTGCAAGGCCGGCGCGGGGGTGGATCAGTGTTAATTTCGTGAAATCTCCGTACCGAGGAGAGGAAAAGTATGATATAGTAGTTGGATAGTAGGACAGTAGGATAGTACTACTTGTACGTAGTAAGTAGTGCATCCGGTCTTTATATACTACGTACTAAACAAGTACTACTGTACCTACTACTACGTAGTAGAAGTACTACGTACTAGTACCGTACCGTACCTACACAAACAAACAAACAAGCGTGCAGGCCCTTACAGAGTAAATGCTCTGCATTCCAGTTACGCTCGGCTGCCCACACTGAGACTGACTACTGCAGCATGGTACAGTACAGTAGAAGAGGAGCCCACCCTGTCTCGGGTCTGTAGATTGTGTGTAGAATTTCTAGTACGGAGTAGTACTTGTAGTACTAGTAGTAGTAGCAATTGTTTTTATCTGATGTACTAGTGTCCTAGTGTACTAGTAGCCGTAGTCGATGCTGTACGGAACCGGTACTGTACGATACTGTGCGTACGTTACTGTATAGAGTCTCCATATCCCTCCGTATCCCTTATCCCTATCCTTATCCCTATCCCAATCCCTACCCCCCCCTCCTCCCCCTCCCCCTCCCCCTCCTCCCCCTATCCCTATCCCTATGCCTATCCCTTATCCCTCCCTATCCTTTCCACCTACACCCGCACGTACACCCGCACGTACACACGTTCCCTACTGTAAGTAAAAGCACCGGGATTGGCATTACGGAGCACGTTGCACGCCCCGAGCTTTAACGGTTGATCAAGCAAAAGTCGGCTACATCACTACTGATTAGAGTCCAGACCAAGGGCCTCCAAGTGGCTCAGACGACCCCCGACACCCCGACACCCCGACCCAAATCCTTACTTACTTTCCGTACCGGCGATGGTGACTAGGAACGGAACTTTGTCCATTTGCTCGTCCGTCTCTTCTCCATTCTCTCCATTCTCTCCATTACTCTCTTCCCCCTCGCATCAACACCAGCACCAGCACCAACACCAACACCACCACCAACACCAACACCAACACCAACACCAACACCAACACCAACACCAACACCAACACCAATACCACCACCACCACCACCACCACCACCACCAAACATTCAGTACCTGGGCTGCCATCACAGACCGATACCTCCCCCCGTCCATCTTTTCCCTTCAACCTGCCCAATCCACCACTGCACTCCAATCCACTCCACTCTGCTCCCAACGATTGCATCGTGCAGCGAGGCTGAGAACACACGGCTTGAGTGAACCCTGTCGCGGATAGCCGCATATCAATCAGCAAGAGCATCAGACAGACAAAGAACCGCGTCCCCATCGCATCGTCCGCGCCCCGATTCCAGACCGGCCGGTCCATGTGGGATGAACAAGTAAATGAATGAATAAAGGAATGAATAAGTGATTGAATGAAATGAGGTACGTGTGTTCTCTTCTTCCAGCTCCATCGCCGTGGTGCTTGCGATCGCGCCCCCCTATGCGACATGCGCAGAAAGAAAAGGGGCTAACCACCACCCCGACAGGTAACCCGACGACGACCATGGCTTCAGTCGAGCACGCACAGCGAAGCACGTTCAGGAGCAACCCAAGTCTATCCCTATCTCTCCCTCTCCCTCTCCCGCTCCCTCCCCCTCCACCGCCAGGCCAAACGGCCACGATCACGACCCATCGAACGGTCCCCATCCCCCAAACGCCCACTGTCTTCACCTCGGCGCCCTCCCCACGAGGGAGCCCCATCAACGTCACGCCGCCTTCCTCCGCCATGATGGCGCCCCCAGCTCGAACCAGCCCCGACATGGAGACGAACGGCGTGCACGATCAGATGATGGGGGATCAACCAAGTAGCGCCAGTGTGGCAGGCCCGAATGCCGCCGCGGCGGCGGCCGCAGGTGCTCAGCAACCCAAGGTCGTCCAGACTGCCTTTATCCACAAGCTGTACAAGTAGGCATTGATCCGGAGGGGGTAGGTATACACGACCTGCTTGTGCTGACGGTTGAACAGCATGTTAGAAGACCCGAGCATTCAGCATCTGATTTCATGGTCAAATTCGGCCGAGAGTTTTGTCATGTCCCCTTCCAATGATTTTTCCAAAGTCCTTTCGTATGTGTTACCCTCGCTCCTTCCCCTCTCCCTCCATTGCATTGTCCGAGCTCACAGTCCTCGAGTCAATATTTCAAACACACGAATATCTCATCCTTCGTACGACAACTGAACATGTATGGTTTTCATAAAGGTTTGTCGCACCCTGGGTCCGGTGGAAGGCCATTTCGTTAATGCATCCGATCCTCAGTCAGTGACGTTTTTCATACCGGCTCGCCAGAGTCTCCTCTGTGGGAATTCAAACACGGGAACGGGAGTTTCAGACGAGGCGATCTGGTCGGGCTCCGAGAAATCAAGCGTCGAGCATCGAGACACGCTCTGGTGAACCGCGATACATACTCGGCCCCGAAGCAGCCCCCACCGTCGCAGCCTGGTACCCCGGCGGAACCTATGCACGCGATGCACGAATCTACCGAATCCCGCTTGACAAACCTGGAGCACACTCTCTACGAGGTGCACGCCAGACTGCAGAGGAGCGAGGACAGTGTCCATTTCATGCATGTCAGGAATCAGGTCGTCATGGAAGCCCTCTCTCGCTCGCTTCAGGTAAGTCTACCAGTCCATTGGTGCCGCAACGCATCATCTCGCCTGGCTTTCGCAGGATGTGCTTGCTAACCGAAATTGCTAGCTGAATCAGGATATGTCACGAGCCATGCTCTCGGTGGTGCCGGGGCCAGAGACGCAATTGCACCGCGACGGTAGGCCATCAGATACGTGGTCCCCGAGGTTCTTACTAACGTGAATTTAGTCGTGAACATGCAGGCTGAGAGTCAACGACAAATCGAGATGATCCGGTCGTTCGATGATCCGCCCGAGCCTCCTTTTTCGGGCAGCCGGTCCTACTTCTCCAGTCTCTCGCTTGACAACGCCCCCGTCTCGCCTCGACAGATGCCACAAGATGACCCTCGGCGAGCTCCCCCCATGATGGGCGGTAATCCCTCTCGGCAGGGCTTCCATCGTCCTACAGTGCCATCGCACTTATCCATTACCCCACGGAGATATGGTTCAATCGGAGCCAACACGTCGTCCCATTCCTCGCCAAACTCGATACGCTCCCAAGCCCCGCCCCCGCAACCACCCCCACACCCTCTCCAAACAGTGTCTTCGCCACCGAACAATCTTGTTCGTAGACACACTTCTGCGGATATCCGGGATGTCCAAGGCTGGCAAGCCAACCCGTCTCCTTTCGCCTCAGGCCGATCGTTGTCCCAATGGTCGTCGCCCCCGAAGCGAGGTTCTAGCCATATATCAGAAGAGCAACACATCCGTGATAGCTTCAGTTCATATTCTCTCACAACGGCATCATCCCAAGGCCGTACCGACAACTCCCGTCCTACGACCCCCCCCTTCTCTAATGGTAGTTCCTCCGACCACCTGAATACTTGGTCCTGGGGAAGGGATAAAGGCCTGACAAGTCTCTCTAACAACAACTCCGGACCGCCCACCAGAAGAGGTAGCATGGCCCATATTCTGAACCCAGCAGAAACGGTTGAGAGAGACGAAGAGCCCGATGAAGATATGAGAGAAGAAGATCGAAAGCGTAAACGCGTGCAGTAGTAAGCGCGTCGGACTCGACGAATCATGATTTTTTTTTTCCCTACACCCATCGGGCAGCGAGACAGAGGGAGGCTATCAGGTATTTTCTTGTACATCGACACATGGGTATTGCGAGGCTGCATCATTACATTTTGCATGGCTGGGACGAGAGAGAAATCCATTTCTCTTATCCCCGGATTGGAGACCAAGAGAGGTGTTGATGGACAGCTTGTTGGATTAATGTTCGCGTATCGCTAGGAAATACCCTGCGGGGGTCGCGGCTAGGACTTGATGATTAGGGGTTTACGACCAAAGCGGTTCTAAATCTGGCCACGCTGGTCTCGTCTGGATAGCCAGCCCGGAAGAACTGAAAATTGCCATTTCACGTATTGTTCGAGATGAAACGTGGGCGCTGACGTCTTGACGAAGAAAATCGAATTGATGTATATTTTTTTTTCTTTCTTTTTTCCTTTCTTCTCCGCGATCATGATGGCTGCCAGACGGTCTTCCATCCGCGTTCTGAAACCTGACCCGCCGGCAGCTCCAGCAGGCAGGTAGGCATCCTGCACACGTCTCTTCTCATCTTTCAATATAACATACCGGTACTACATACATACCCCTTTTACTTTTTTCAGGTTACCGCACACAACCAACCTCCTCCTCCTCCTCCTCCTCCTCCTCCTCCTCTCCTACTCGCACCCCCGATGCACTGCTAGCTGCCTCTCCCATCTGTGATTTCTGGCCGGTAAAGTGCATCGGATCGGATCTGATCTGAAGTGAAGTGAAGTGGATCTGAAGTGAAGTGAAGTGATCTGAAGTGTATCTCCGCGCCTGTAGATCCATCCATCCATCCATCCATCCGTCCCGTGTCTGGGAGACGGCGGGCGGTGTTGCTTTTAGGCTTTTCTTTG